AAACAAAGGGAAATATGTATTAGGGGATTAATTAACTATTTAACACTTACATTTGATGCATTCAAAGTTTCACTATTTGATTCTCCTGATTGCTGTTGCAGTAATGCAGGAAATTCGGCCACAACATTATCTGAAAATAAATACCAATGCTTATAACTTTATTTAATAAATTGTCATTTATTATTATTAACTGCTTTATTACTGTTTAGTTTTGATCGAGTATAATTAGATAAACAAATTTACCTTCGACAGGGACATTAAAATCAGCATCGCTGTCAACAGGATTTGAGAGAGGCGTAAATTGCTCGGGGATTAAGGAGAAAATTTGTTGCGTAATTGGTGGCATTGGACACTCGATATCGGCACATATTCCTCCTCCAGTACTCATCCGTGCTCGCTTATTTGATGCCACATCTTTTCTTGCTTTTTGTTTTAAATTTTTCCAAAAAACTTTCAAGTTTTTTGTGTCCCGTTTACTAACCTCCGGAAACTTATTAAATTCTTCGGTTAGAATTTGCCACGTTTCATTTTTTTTCTTTAAGGATATGGCATTCGTCTCCTTTGATTCGATTATATTTTTGTATTTTTCGATTAATTCCATTAAATACTCTGTTTCTCGATGAGAAAAATCGGGTTGTCGACTTCGTTTTTTGTTGTCTGCCATGTTTGTATCTAAGCGCGTATTACGTCTTTCCGAAATATCCAATCGAGTAACGTGTAAGAAAATTTTTTAGTAACGCTGGTGTCGAGATTATCGGATTCACTAATCCTGTTCTTAATATCTCGGGATTTACTAATCCTTCGCTAAAATTTGTTGGTGAAATCCTCGCGTCAGTAATCTCGGTATTAGTCTAATCGCTGGATTTACAAATACCACGATTAGGCAATGTTGGTGAAATACCCTGTAAATAGACTGTTAATAATTAATAACGTAGATAATATTCTAGCACGCCGTTTCTCAATTAGTTTTTTTTTACCTTGGTTAGATATTAGTATCGGTTATAGTATAAATTATTGTACACGATTTGGAAATAAGCCAGATAGATGGAGGAATTGATACATGTCTCAGGGCCTCACAGGAGGGCCCCGATTCATGGCGTGTTCGTGCTCAGGAACTTCCTCTTGTGTAACTTATTGTTTAAACAGAGAAAGAGTTAAACAGAAACAAAATATTAAGATTATTATTAATTTTTTTAGTATTATTCTCGTGCAAACTAAATAAAACAATTAAGGTTTTATTAATTAATAATATACAATTACTTCGATCTTATTAATAGGAAAAATCAAAATAATATTTTAAGTTTAACTGGCAACACTTTCACGTTAATATTGATTACGTCAATTTCAAAATGGAGGAATACGCACGTGAACCGTGGTAAGAAAAATTTAAATTTTGAATGAAGTAATATTTAATAAGCGAAATATCTTAATAAATGCGTAAAGTTAATCACGAAACAAATTCGTACGATAAGCGATATTTTATTATATTAATTTAAGTTACTTTACGATAGATATTTGAAAATTCAACTCTCTATAAATAATTCATTACTTTTGTCTTCGATTTTATATTGTGCATTACAATTAACATGATATTTTTTATTAATTATTTGGTTATTACCATACCGGTTATTATTTTATAATTATTTTTTTTTATCAGAGTGAGTGCCTAAGATCGTAAATTTGTACCTGTGTTACATCATATCAAAAGATCAATGTGATTTGCTGACAAATTTTAAATTTACCGCTAATATCACGTCGGTTTTTGTATTTTATCCGAAATATTAATAACTTTTCATCAGTGTTTTAATAAAATACAGTCAAATAAGCTAATAATAACAATGGATGATTATTAATTAATCTTAATAATCACCTCTAAATGCTGTTTCTTTATCATCATCATCCTTCTACAATCCATTGAAAGATATAGGTCTCTCAGTGAATTTTATTACAGTATGTATTATTCAACAAAAAAATAATTATACAGTAATACCTCGACTTACGCTACCCCGACTTACGCGATTTTCAAATCTCATCAATTTGTCTTTTGTTTGAGCGCCACGCAACTATTGGTTACTCATTTCCCCCACACTATTGTTCAGCTTACATGTTCGGACGTGTCGTGCGGAATCGACACATAGCTACAATTTATTTTGTGTTATTTATTTCTGTATTTGTTATATATATGGAGACTCGAGAGACTCTGTGGTGATTTCTTGTAACCGTGAACGAATCAAAAGACGAGATAAGATTAACGAGAACATTTATTAGCTTACATCCGACTTGGATTTTACACAAATTGCGAAATTATACCCCGACTTATGTGAATTTGACTTACGCGGTTATTGCTCGGTCCCACTTATCGCATAAGTTCAGGGTATTACTGTACTGGAAACATATTACTATAATTTGTCCTAGTAGAATTTTAAGAATGTCCAATGTAACTTATATTTTTGGCTTCTTCATAAGTAATAGTACATGTCTATCACTAGAGATAGTACAATGTGTTTTAAATAGGCACCATAATTTTGATGCCATGTTTGAAATGGGAAACACAATTATTTCAATGTGCATTGATGCTAATATTCCTGTTTAATTGCATTAAGAGGATTTATTAGATATGGGGAAATATAATTTTTCTCAAATTTAAACACTAATCAGATCTGAAATATTACTTTGAGAATGGGTTAGGTTCTCGAGATTTTGTCGTAAGTCAAAAACTAAGCTAGAAAGTACATTTGTACACAGAATAACTACTTATTGTTAGTGTTTGATCCTCCAATGTAGTTAATAGACAATACACAATAGAAATAGGCCTACATTAATTGTTTATTACTGACCAACACTGACTTCAATGCCACCCTATGAGTGGCAAGAGAACTTCACAAAATTTAAATTTTAGACAGTCAAATTGTTCATAAATAGGGGAGCACCTTTATTCAATTCTCAAATACTTAGTGAACTTAATTATAACTTATTTAGTCAATAATTTTATGTAATATTTATTATTTAACTTGCTTTATTTATTTCTATATATTAATAAATTAATAGAGTAAAAAGAATTTGAAATGAAACTTTAAACTGTATTTTGATTTTGAATTTTACAGTACCTTTTTTTTAGTACTCTTATCTTAACTACAATAGATTAATCAATGATTGTTCTCATTTTCACATACTACAGATTTTTATTTATGAAAAGAAGCATTCGAACAAATACAGGATCTAGCCTGCTTTTTTTTTTCTTGACAAATCAAACCAGAGGGTGCTGAAGTTGGCACCATGAGTAAGCAGTGTTGTTATATCTAAATTAATTGTTCTGAAAGCAAAGATTGCTTGGATATCTGGGTAGGTGTAACTGGCAATGCATTTGCACAGTCAGTAAGCAGAAGTTGCAGGTCTGAGTCCCACTCTGTGCTGATTCTCATCTTAGCAAGCCTTTTTAGCCTTTTGTTTTTTGAACAAATGAAATGTGTAGAATGTTTCTTTATTAATACTAAGCAACCTTAAAGCTTTTATTTTCTGTTGGTAAAAGTAACATTTAATTTTATAGGAGTAGGAATCACTATAGGTCCTAAGTTTCTCTGGGCCTGGGAAAAATCCTCAGATTTCCTCTTCTAAATGGCCCTGATAACAGACCATATATTTGGTTTTGTTTATATTGATCAAGACATTCCTTTTAGTTTTTAACAAGACTTCCATCTACTTCAAACATAACATTATTGGCATATGTAAGATTAAGGATGGCAAGGTGGATGGCTTTTTTTGTCTCTCAATAAACATTCTTACTGAAAACACTGTCTGTTGTTCTGTAACTCTTCTCTTTACAAAGCTTTTGTTTTTTGTAACTAGGATTTTTTCAATAACTTTTATGCCTTGTGCATAAACATCACCTCACAAACCTTATTTATAGCTAAAGCCAAACAATTGCTGAATTATTAGGCTATAATATGACTATATAATTAAATACTGAATAGGATGTCATGGTGTATGTAGCTCACTTAACACAATTTAACCTACTTGATGTAACATAACTAGTCTTTATTCAAGCACAGCTTTACACACATGTAGCCTTGCCGATTTTTGGCTTTGTTGTTATCTGGATGAGTGTATACTTTCTGCTAGGTAGTGCTTTAGTGGCAGTTACAATCTTTTTTATGATAATTTTTTTCAAAGTTTGACCATTTTACAGTTTATTATGAATATAATTAATTTTATGAATTAATTCCAGTCCTTGGCGAATTATTGATGACTGTGGAGGTGCCTTCACAATGGGGGCTATTGGAGGTGCTGTCTTTCAGAGTATAAAGGGATTTAGGAATGCACCATCGGTAAATATATTTTTTATAATTTAAGATTATAGATACTATTTATATCAATGATTTTAAGTCTTTTTACTTGTTACTCTTTAGTTTTATAAAGCATTTTCACTTTTTATCTTTTATAACTGAAGTAAATTTAATTCTTTGTTTTATATAACTTATTGGTAGTTAACTAAGGAAAACATACATAATTATACTAAAATAATTATTCTAACAGAGCTCAAATAGTAAGGAAAATACAACTAATGAATAAAATCAAATATTTTTGAATTAATAAACTTAGTTTGTGTTTAGGAATTCTAATAATAATACAAAAAAGAACATTTTACTTAAACTGAATCTGTCAAATTTTGTCATTTTTGGCAAATAATATTTAAAATGTTTGTGTGCAAGAAATATTACAAGTAAAAAATAGTTGAATTATTTTTTAAAAATTTTCATATGTAAATTATATAAAACACAAAATAATAAATAGATAACAAATTAAATAACATTGAAACATACAGGGTCCATACAGACCTGGAAAATCAGGGATTAAGACTTTTAGCAGAAAAAGACAGGAAATCTGTCTGTCATTCTTGCTCCTTTTTGATCCAAACACATCTTTAACCCTTCGGGGAACGCGCTTTTCAGGATCTCACAAGAGGGCGCATCGCGGCAATTGCACCGCATATGTAATATTACTTGATTTAAGTCAATAATTAATTATCGTTATGAAAATATGATTCAGATATACCAGAAAACTATTTTTATGGCATTTTAATAAACAAATTGTTTATAAAATATTTAGATAATAAAAATAGTCACTATATATTCATAAGATGTTCACCTTCACACATGGCACATATAATCACTATATTCCGATTCTTCTTGCAAATATTTCTACTCATTTCTGACAAATTGATTTTTTCCTATTGTTTTTGAGTATGCCACAAATAAAACAAATTCTAGGTTTTTTCCGCTACTTTGGATTGCTCTTTGTTTCCCTTATATTTTTGAAAAATATAAACTAATATAAATTTAAAAATTTATAGAAACTTACAATAGTGTTAATTTAATGTATTTATTTAATAAACTTGCAAATATTGACTTACTTTATTAAAAAAATTAAACACATATATATAAACGTATACTGATATTTTAGTTACATGACAGGGCGCGTAGCGGCAGTTACAACACAAATTAGGTACGACTTGATTCAAAGTCCAGTAACAGCTAAACGGTTAGCATAACTGACCCGATTTCAAAGATAAATTGTAACTTGTAATATGAAGAGAAAATACTATGACGTATTTCCACAATAATTAAGTACAATGTCAAACAAACAAATTTATTATTATTTTGCGGCAATTTGCCGCGGGCACGCCCACCGAAGTGTTAAATTCAGTTTGGTATAGGTTTATGAAAACTAAAGTGACCAAACAAATGGCAAGATTTGTTGCGCTTATATCTTGTAAACTATAAATGATAATCTAATGATTTAAATTCTGTTGGATAGGAGGTTTACATCTGTATTTAAAATGGTGGGTAGTGGGGGTGTTCAGGGGGGAGGGGGGTAGCAATTGTACGTGAACACCGAAAATGGCAATGAGGCATGGTGTTTGGGCAGCAAAACTTTGGATCGCAAAGAAGTAGGACATTGAAATTTGTGTTGATTTGTACAGAATGACAGGATCTGCAATATTATTTAGCAATAATAATCGATAAAATAGAATTTGTAAAGTTATAGGCTGATAACTAGTCGGGTTGAAGAAGATTTTCATAATATCAAAGAAATTGCAATGGAAATACAAACAGAAATGTAAGAGATATATATCATTGGAAAGAAAAATTTAAAAGGAATTAGAAAAGCCCAAAATAACCAATGCTGAACGATGCAGATTGTACAGAGAGCATAAGAAAACCCAGCCTGTCAACTTCGACTTGAATATTTCGAGTGTGCCACAGCCTTAACCAATAGATATTGACTTGAAATGTGATTACCACTCAGAACATTATTCCTTTACATCTTATCCTTCCTCTAATAACACAAAGATGAATTCACACCGTAAACAATTGTGATTGTGTCCCGTACACAACCCTCCCAACTTTTTTGACCTGCACAATGTTTGGTTAACTTATTGCTGCCAGTTGATGACATGAGAGGAGACAAAAAAAACTCAGCCAATTTAGCAATATTGTGTATGGGACATTTTGGATCGTGTAACGGATCTCACACAATTTATGTATTTTTATTTGTTGTATTCTTCGATGCTAGCCACATACTGTATGTGTAGCTAATAATCCTGCCAATTTTGATGGATTGATGAGTTGTGATATATCTTCTCTCAAACTGAAAATTTTTGTCTTCAGATGGCCTGTGGAATTTTGGAAAGCCACATTTTTTAGAGGTATACCAAAATATTGCCATAGAGTTAAAGTCAGGTTTTCAAGAACACCACCAACAATCATCCACTTTACTGCCAAAACTCCACCACTCCCACTATAAGTTTCAGGGAGAGATGGGAAGATATGTAATGACCTTGAATGGGTCTGTGCTGGACCAAAAATAGCACACACTTTTTTCTGTTCAAATTATTTTGAATTTACCACTTCCTCGCTTTGAGAAAATTTGATTTTACGACACACCACGTGTCTTTTTTCTTATTTAAATAAAATTTACAAATTAATTTAAATTAAATCGCAAATTTTTTATTTGACATAGAAATGACATAGCTAATTACATAATCAATTTTACTCTAAGGTTTTTGTAAATGAATAAAGTGTGTTTTAATAAAAAAATTTATATAATTGTGTACAAAATGGGCTTACATAGACTTGGCTGAATCTTATAGTATAATCGAGATGGGTTGATGATGATATTAATAATAAGTGCAGAGCCCAAATGGTTAGGAGTTGAAAGTTGAAATTTGATACATGGTAAGTCATGAGAACATACACTAAGAAGGGATTTCTTGAAATTTTACCCGCACGGAGAGGGATAGGATTAAGGCTTGCCGCAAAGAACTCGGCTTCCATTATACTATTTTAGATGTGATTTTTTTGTGTTTTTGATTGCATTTTAATAGGGTATGCCATGAGAATACACATTAAGAAGGGATTTTATGAAATTCCCACTGTGGGAGAGGGAGAGGGGGGTTAAAGATTACCCCCAAAGAACTCAGCTTCTACTGTACTATTTTAGATGTCTTTCTTGAATTTATGCAGGAAATCGAACATATTTTTAGACTTTTCTAAAAATTCTCAATGATATTTAGTGTTCCATCGTATATAAAGTTGACATGGGGAGTGCATGCGCATAAGTTCACTTTATTTGATCTCTTCGTCTTAATGCTCGAATTAATATTTATGAATGATTCGGGAAGATCCGGCTTATTTTTTGAATTTAGTAAACCCGAAGAAGAACCCAGAAGGGGGTTACGAAAATGTTTGTTATGTATCATTTAGTGGTACTACACACCGGTTAGTTGTTGCCGTGAATCTTAATTATCATTATCCCAGTGCGGTGAGCAGATATCTAAACTGATTTTACTTTCCTGGTTGTTATGTATATAAAACAGGAAAGTATTGGAATCATGTCAAATTTGACCCATTGAATTTTTTTGCAAATCATCACATTTTGAGACCTCCCAAAACCAAAAATGTGAAAAAATTCCATGTGCCTGACTGTGTGTTGGTATATATTTCATTTAATATCTCAGCATGGAGTAAAGATTAACAAACAAAATTTGGATTGATAACTTATACAAAACAGTATGTCCTACATGGCAGCATCTGTGGGCAGAAGGAATCTTTGTACACACTTCCAGCTCACAAATGATCTGTCTGGAGTGGACATGTGTTGTTTACAAAATGGCAGCAAGATGATTTCATTGAATGCTTGCCATGGAAAACAGTTATCTACATTGCATTACCAAAACTTTTTACAGGCAAAAGACATGCCATATTTAAAAGAAATGTCAGCAGTTTTTCACAATACAAATAGTAAAATTTTATCATGAAATAAAAGATGATCCAGCTTTTTTTCTATGGAAGCCTGAGCAGTGGAAGCAGCAATGAAACTTGCTTGGTAGCTGCTTCCTGCGTGCACATGTAGAAGTATCATCTGGTGGTTGCTGCATGCTAAATGCAATTACTCTGGACATACACATTCACTTGCATTGGTTTTTTTCTGCTCTTCTCAGTAGTGTGTTAATGCATGTGGTCGCTGGACACTACCATATAGGATGTACTGTACAGTACCTTAAGAGGCATTGCTATTAAATTTTGGTGGTTAAAAGTCGGGGTGATGATCTCGAGCGGGATCAAACTTATGACATTTACAATTTGAAAAAAAAAAACCCAACTCAGCCCTTAGAACTAAGCCTTTTGCCTTTTTACAATAATTAATAATGTATAATTTATTTTAAAATAAAATCTAATGACATATAGTGACACATGTAATTTTATTTTAAATAATTATTAACCAAAATTAAAAATAAGAAAAAATTAAATAAAAATATGCATATAGTAGATTTAGATTTTGTTCTAAGAAATTTTTATACAAAGTGGGTGAAGCCTGGAACAATTTTTAGCAAATAGAGTCTGACAAAAGAGCATGTTGCAAATTTCTTGTTTAAGTCAGGAAAGTTATTTAGCTCATTGCTGGATTTTTAGTGAATAAATGGTGACACGAATAGAACTAAAAGTACTAGTAACTCTCTTTAATAGGATTTGATACATTTCAGCTAATTCTATGATAGACCATGGGTATATCTATCACTAAGATCATTCTTAAACCTGAAAAGATACTGCTGATTGTAATTTTAAATTTTTTAGTTAGATTAAGAATTTTATAAGTTAGCTTGAAAAAAAAAATTGTTGAATGTAGGTACTGTACATACATACATATATTCTTATTTATTTTAACAACCTGGTAGAAGAATATGCTTTATTTTGTTTTAAAAAAATTAAAATATTAAAAATGGAGATAGAATATGAACTAAATTTTAATTAATATTTAAATGTCTATATTTAATTAAAATTGAATATTTTGAAAAGGTTAGTTTGTGTGTGATCAAAGGTTACTTGTAAAGATTGTTTTTATAGAAAATGATAAATGTACAGTTACATGCCCAATCTAATTTTTTTTTTTGTTATGTTATTTAACATAATTATTTTTTACTAAAAGGCTAATTTTATTTATTTTTTTTTAAATAAATAAATATATTTATTTACATGTATATGTATTTATTATATAGGGTGTAAACAGACGTTTACTTGGAAGTTTAGCAGCAGTGAAGAGCAGGGCTCCTGTAATAGGAGGTAATTATAATTTGCTTATTTGTCATTTTTTGTTATAAATTATTAGAAAATGCTCCAAATTAAGTATAGTTATTTTAAAATTTGAAATCAGTTCTTTCCAAATCACTGAATGCTGTAACAATTTGATGGATTTGTGATATTTTGACTGATTTCAAGAACATTGAAAAATTATGTGGAAAAAATGTTTATGATAATATTTTGCAATAACTTTTCTTTCATGTTAACATTAAACAATACTTGTTTAGTAATACAGTGAAACCTCCATTAACAGACACCTCTATTTAATGGGCATTTTTACAACCCCCAGACCCTTCAAATAGGACATCTATAATATTTACCTGTAAATAGCAGACACTATATAACAGACCCCATCATCCTTAACCTACCTTACAGAAACACAAAAGTCCTGCCTTCAATATTCTGAAAGAATTAATTACATACAAAATATTTTAAAACTAAAACAAAGAATCAGTTCAAATACTCTTTCAGAGGATGAATTTTGACCGTAAGCATCAAGTAAAGACTGGCGTAAAATAGGAATAGCGCAGGTTGTAAAAATTGAACAATGTTCATTGTATGTTAGATAAGACTAATCTGGTTAAGTTGTCAATTACCATTTATCATCATACATATTAATTTTATTATATTATTGTCTTATTGTTGGAATTAAAGTTACAGTACCAAGAAATCATAAACTTTTCCAAAGTTATTCATTCATTCAACAAGATCTGTAGTATAGTAGTAATGAAAAGGAAACAGTTTTAAGGTTAAGACAAAAGTGTTTATTTGGTGAAAGTTCAAAGATCACGTTACGAAGGCAGTTTGCCAACCACTTTAAAATGTAGGAATATATTTGGTTTTCTCACATTTATGACATCATTCATGATTGTAACAGCTTTGTGGTAAGTAATTTTTAATAAATCATTTATTGATAAAAGCAAAAATGTTTGAAAAATTATTCTTACTCAATAACTAAAGTAGACAAATCACTATATCAATTTTTATTTGTCACTTAGATCATAAATGATGTTATAAATGCAATACTGAATACAGTAATACCTCAACTTACGCGAACCTGGAGTTATGCGATTTTCAAATCTCGTCGATTCATCTTTTGTTTGAGCGCCACGCAACTCTTGATTACTCACTCCTTCCACACTATTCCACACTATTGTTCAGCTTACATGTTCAAACATGTTGCGCGGAATTGACGCACAGCTACAATTTATTTTGTGTTATTTATTTCTGTGTTTGTTATATCTATGGAGACTTGAGAGACTCTATGTGGTGATTTCTTGTAACCGTGAACAAATCAAATGACAAGATAAGATTAATGAGAACATTTATTTGCTTACATACATCCAACTTGGATTTTACACAAATTGCGAAATTATATCCCTACTTACGCGAATTCGACTTACGCGGTTATCGCTCGGTCCACCTATCACGTAAGTTCGGGGTATTACTGTACATTACTTCCTAACTCGACATTTGAACTATCATTGTCAAAACTAACCTTCATCCACCCTTCTTTTCATAATAACAGTTTCATTTTTCTTTTTTGTTACTTCCACTCAGTAGTTTTTTGATGAATTAATAATTAATTTATGTTTACATTTTGTCATAGTTTTTATGTCCCATTTAATTAAAGTATCCTATACAATTGTTTTCTATTTAAAATTCAATTAATATATGATTTTTACAGCTGAAAAGATAAAGAATATACTGTATATGTATATGCTGTGTATAGTTTTTGGTATTTTCATATTCCTAATGCAAATTTGATGTTTTCATAATCCATTGTTTTCTTCACTTTATAATGACCAGGTTAAAATACAATATGGCCTCTGGCATGTACTGTACCAGTACCTATAAATTGTGGACAAACTTCTTTGCCCCAATGATGTCTACTATTTGGAGGTGATACTGTATTTTGAATAAGCACTACTACTGATGAAACTGGATTTAGCATCAAATTTTTTTTAAAGGTGGAATATGTGAAAAAATCATATTAATGAGATAATGTCATGTAAAAAATCTCTGAAAGTACTGACCTACTTTTTTTTCTCATGCAGTTGGGTGGTGAGAGATAGGAACTAACATATTAGGAATATGAAAAATTCTTGAGTATCTTTTGCCCAGGCCCACCAATAGCCAAGTGGTCTTTGTACCCTGAACACGGGGAGTTTGATCGAGGGTTTGGATGGGCTGGCCACGTGGAGTTTTCCAGGTTTTCTCCACCTTTGTAATGCCTAAATAGGGGCCAGTTTTCCTTAAAAATACCTCCTGGAAGGCATCCTCCTAGGCAGATTGCCTAAGTGTTGCATTGCCATAACTTAACAAACAAATTTTTGCCCACCTAAATTTGATCCTGGGTCCCCAGAGTGGTAGATAAATGCCTTGGAATCCTGTTGTCTTAATCTTAATGTCATCTATATTTCATTTAAAGAAATTGATTTAAATGAAATCTGTTATTATATAGGAATTGAATTTGCATTTTTTTATCAAGATAAAATTTAATTCCCATTTTGGACTAAATATATTTTTGTATCTTGCTTTTATTTTTTTATTTTTTTTTTGAATAGAATTGTAATTTATAAACTAAGATTTATTATTTGAGTTCTTTTCCTGTCTAGATGCTAGACATTTTTGGTCAACCAATGAAACAAGTTATTTATGAATTTTGAAAAATACAAGAATTACTTCATAATTTTTGTATTTTTCTTTTCTTGGTTAAAGATTATTAAAAAAAAAAAACAATAAATTAGAGATAAGATAGTTACTTCATTCTTCTCGTGTATTTCTGCAGTTTTCCACAAACTAGAAATACTCTTTTCACATAAAATTATTTTGGTATTTGAAGAAGTTGGATTTTCAACTTGTTAATAATCTGTATTGTCATCATTAGTACAACTATCAACATAGTTTTTTCTTTAATAATAATAATTGGTACATAATTACATACACAATAAGAATATTTTTTTGAAAAGTTAAAAGTATATACGCCTATGCTTTGTTAGTTATTTTATAAAGGAACAACTTCTTAGAAATGACTTGATTATTTATTGGACTGCTTGTGGATACACGATATTTTTTGTTTTTCCGTCTGGTGCGTACACGAATAAATCAGAAGGTTTTCTGACTCATGAGCTGGCTACATACAGTTGTCCATGCGAGGAGCATGGATTCTCCAAATTTAGCCCACACACTTGCAGCGATTGTCAGAAGTGCAATATTCCCCATTTTTACATTTTCTTTTTAATCCTTTATAATTTTAATTATTTAATTGCTCCTTCCTCTCTTCCTTGACATGTGAAATTTCTGATAGTTGGATAATAAACCATTTTATTGTAATTTGTCTTTTTAAATTATTTTGAGTCGATATTAAAATTTGGAAAAGGGGGATCCCTAGATCGGTAAAATAGGCGAATTTCCTCCTACAACTTCATTTGTTGTTCAGGATACAGTTAAGGTTTTAACAAAGTTTGAGTGAATACGTAATTAGCAAAAAAAAAAAAGTTGAAATAAAGTGATTAAGCAAAAATTATTACAAATATCGTAAATAACAGTTCACAAATACATATATAGAGATATTTTTTGGAGGGGGGAAATGGTCTTCACAATTTGAAATTGATCGAACACACAGTGAAATGCTCGTATACACTCGCTCCATCTATCGTAGGATAAATGTACTATGCCAGAAACCTTCGCAGGAGTGTATTAAAAAACTTCCCAAAGCTTCATGGCAATCGGATAAATGCTGTGGTAATGCATGAAGGACAGACACACAGACATACATTCATTTTTATATATATATAGATAAAATAAAGAAATTAATTGTAATTAAAAATATTTTAATAAATTTGTTTAATTTTTTAAAAGGTAACAAATAATGACCTTTACAGATGATTTATTGATTAAAGATATTAGTATAATAATATAAATGATAATAATAATACATATTGAATTTAAAAAATTAGACATTGAAAATCATTTTGAATCATTGCAATAATAGAAGACAAATAAAACATTAAATCATTATTTTTATGCTTTTTATTTCTGTTCTCTTAGCTAAAGTTTTATATTAAAAACATAATAAAAGAATAAAATTATAATGTATAAGAAAAAAATTTTCTTTTAGGCAACTTTGCAGTTTGGGGAGGATTATTTTCCACAATCGACTGTTCATTAGTTCATATCAGGAAAAAGGAAGATCCATGGAATTCCATTACTAGTGGGGCTTTAACAGGAGCTATATTGGCAGTACGAAGTATGTAATTTGTTTGACTCTTAATTTATTTTTAATATAAGCATGTAAATTAAAATTTTAAAGTTTAAAACCATATTTTGTAGAAAAAGCAATTTAGTTAGTTAGTTAAAGTAATCTTTGGAACTTGAATTAATTTTTATAATGAAATTAAGTATCATTTTTAAAACATTCTTGGTTTTGTGAATTAATAAACAGAAGTCTTTTTGTAACAATTCTGATCAATGAGAAGAGTATAATAAAATTTCATATTGAAGTTTCTGCAGCTTTATAACTTTTTTCTGCAATGTATGCAGCCAAAATTGTCATGAAGAATGAGATGTGTTAACTGTACAGAATTTTTGTCATTTGTTTAATTTTGATAGCATCTTTCTGCTTTAGGGTTAGTTGTACAAGTTATAACATCAAGATTAAATGCACTTTAATTTACAGAATTCTCCCTTTGGGATACTCTGCCAAGTAAGTTAACATACTGATTTCAGGTGGTTACAAGTTTATTCTGTAGATTAGCAAAGAAACAAGAATTGTGACCAGCTCCAATTCTGATGTGAATAACCTTTATTTAGAATACCTAAAGGAAGTTTATCCTAATATTTTCAAGGAAGATCAGATTTTATAATGTTGTATAGCAATTATAAGTTTTCAGAATTGATTCCAATTTAAAAAGCTAGAGAGTTAAATGAATCTTGGTTTATAATGAGAAATGATAACACAGGTCTGCAAAAAAATTTTTTCCAGCTGTATGGAATATTCTTGCTGAATTATATGTTTTAAAGATTACAGATTCTAAAAATGACTTCCGTTACATCCCATCACGTAAAGGTTTTTTGCAAAATAAAAACAAAGTTTTGATAAAACTCTTATTTATTACAATGAACTAAATATATTATATTTTCTTACAACTAATCAACAAATTGTTTCTGATACACAATTTTAGGTCTGCTCTTTTTTCTTATGAAACCTTTTCTTCTTTTTGATGCTTCTCCAAATGCATTTCCAATTTCCTTCTCTGGTTTCTCGATTGAGCATCCAACAGTAGTCAGCTAACATATTGACATTCCATTTTCCTTGGTAACGTCTCTCGATATCACTGACATCCTGGTGAAATCTTTCACCCTGTTCTTCATTGTAGGCTTCCAAGTTTTCAGGAAAATAGTCAATATGGGAGTGTAAGAAATGAACTTTTAAGCTCATCTTGCATCCTTGAGCTTCATACGCTACTGCCAGCATGCATTGTACTGTACAATGGTTTTGTAGTCATGGTCCTTAGTATTCCCCAAAAACTTATGCACTACATTCTTGAAAGAGTCCCATGCTTCTTTTTCCTTTTCTTCCATTGTTTCAAAAAATCTGCTTTGTCTTGATCTCCAATTTCAATTTGAAATATGCAAAATAAACTTTCTTCACAAACTCACCTATGTTTCTTTGTTGACTTTTCACTGTGTATTCACCACAAACTTAACAGAAGCTATCGGGAGAAATTACACAACCTCTGTGAGCCATATTCCAGAAATAAAAATACAAGCACAGTAGCATTCAAATGTTGGATATAAACTGAGTGTGGCATTAGATGGCCAGCGAGATACTGAACTTATTTAGCTTGTTGAAACATGATCTAATCCAACGACAGGTTGTTTATATTTATTCCTAGTATCCCAGATAACATGTTGAAACATACTTATCCTCACCAATAATATTACTCACTATCAACTTTTAACCTGTTTCTATACAATCGTGCTTTCTCCTAATGTTAAAAGTACTTAATCCATCTCCTCCTACAATCACTCTTTTCAACCATTAACATTTTTATTTATTTATTACCAGCTATAATTGATAGAATTAATGTGAGAAGTCTTTGTTTTAAGGCTATTTTTTAAATAAAAAAAAAAGAATAATACTAAATTTTAAGTTCACTAGAAATTTTACACTAAATACAAACAAAAACTTGAGTGTAACAAAAAAATTGACGAAATGGAATTTTTTTCGTATTTTTTTCGTTTTTACCAAGTTGAAATCTGTAAGAAAATGTATAAAAATCCTATGCAGTTTTTTACTTGCAGACCTGTATAGTTTAATATTAATTATTTATATTAGTTTAATATAGTTTATTTATCAATTTTTTGTTTCATAATTAAAGGTTATCTTTTTATTAATTACTGTCGTATTAACTAAAATCAGACATATTATGTACAAAGCTTAAAATTGATGATTGCTTCAAAGATTTCACTTTCATATTTCTCAAATTTCCACTTAAATAATAAGACTTTCAACACATTGAGTACTTTACTTCATTTCCTTCAGAAAGCCTGACTAATGTATCTATTGCCTCTTGAGCTTCAGAAATTGTCTGCATTGGTTTTGGTCCTATTCACTTATCTCATTCATCACCACCGCCACCACTACCACCATCATCTTTATTCAGCACAGCTTCCACGATGTCACTTCTCAGTATTAATATCACTAGCTACCAAATTGTCATCAACTTGTAAAAATTTATCAATGTCATTATTAAAATTTTTAATGTTATTGCATTGCATTCAGATAAAGGTATGTCACTTTCTTTATTTTCATCATCATCATCTGACATTGAAATTTCATTTGTATTTAATTTCAGGTTTTTTGAACAATTTGTTATGGTTGTTAAAATAGCATTGCTCTATCATCATTTAACAAGTTTATGGCATCCAGTATCAATATAAATGCATTAAACTTCTGTTCTCTTTGATGGATTGAATGCAAAACTATAAATCTTTTATAAAATCCTTTCAGGATTTTATAAAAGATTTACAGTTTTGCATTTAAACTTTCGATAGGTTGTAAAATTGATGTGACATTGAGAGGCAGAAATACTATCTTGATATTGGACAAATTTTCAATCTGGAGATGAGCTGGACAGTTATCAACTAACAATAAAATTTGTTTTTCTTTTTGGGTAGTTCCTAATTCCAATCACTTAGGTACTGCCAAAAAATATCCAAAGTCATCCAGGCTTTTTTTTTTGTTCATAGTATAATCTACATTTTTAAAACTCTGAGGTTTTAAAAATGTATTTAATGATTTAAGATAATAATAAGATAACTAACAGTTTCTGTTAGTTATCTTCTTATTGGTTCCTGTCAATTTGCACATACAAGCACTATCAAGTGATTCTTTGATTTCTTTCCATCAACATTTTCCTCCTTTGAACTTAAATGTATAGTCAGGCATCAGATTATAAAAAAGTCTCATTTCATCAACATCATAGATATCTTTGTCATTAAAATCTTTTCTCACTTCTGCCCAAACACTGTCAATCCATTCATTTCTGATTACTGGATCAGAAGATCGAGATTCTCCACTATTTTTGAATAAATGATGTTATGCATATTTTTGAATTGATCCAGCCAACCGCTGTTGCATACAAAATCATTGCATCCAAATCATCTAGCAAATTTTTCTGCTTGAGCCTTTGAGATAATCTGTCTATTGAAAATCCAACACTTCTTTGTGTGCTAACCATTGAAACAGTGCTTCATCGATGTGTGCACACTCACACTTTCTAAATTTTTTTGTTTCGGTTATATTTTTCTCCAGCCCTGATAGGTAGACATCTTTATTTTTCCATGACGTCAATACTGTCGAAGAAGACAAAGAGTACTTTCTTTTCACACACTTTGACATTTTTAGTATCATTTTGTAACTCTTGGAATAATATCCCCTTTTTCATACACCAAGAAACATTTTCTTTTATTCACAGACACCTTTCTCGTACAAGGGTTCATTTCTAAGTAGAGTATATGGTAATTTTACAATTGTAGTAACAATTAGATTAGCTTCCAGTCCTACTCTGCTAATTTGTCAAGAAAGACAGAGGCAGTCTCTAAAAAAGGAAGTTAAGTGATAAATAGTTTTATAACCTGCATGGATTAGAGGCCTAAGTAATCCTTTCAGTTTTATCTCTTCCAAGAATTTGGTACTGCATTTCCTACTTGAAACAATTAAGAACATTCACGTGTTTGCATAGCTACCAAAAATTTGCTCTTTATATCCACAAAGTATGCTTGTTATAAAAGTACGAAAATAAGCATAAATTAAAATTGTTATGATGTTTCACTCATTATAACTGTGAACTCGTTACATCTGTGTTCATTATAACTAAGTTTGACTGTATATTAAATGTATTTACTATTAACTTTACATTAAGTTTTTATGTTTATAATTTAAATTTCATTATTTATAGATGGTGCAGGTGCAATGGTAGGATCTGCAATTATAGGTAAGAAAACTTTTTGCAGTACTTTGACAATACCTTATTTTTGTATATTTGCATCTAGCTGAATTCTTTTTGATTATACTGTATGTATAATCAAACAACTTAATGAACTTTAAAATATCTTATTACTTACATGTTCTTAGAGCAGAGTGTTATCATTCAATTCTAAGTTAGATAGTTATTTGAAAAATTTCAAACTTCATAAGATATTTTTTGTAATTAGACTCATTGGAATAAAAAAATTTAAATTCAGAATTTAGCTGCTTGAACATTATATCCGGGTTATAGAAAAGATACCTAATTCAATTGTCATAACTGAACTTACTAAAGAAATTACTATTTACTTCAATGAGGAAAATATCAGTTTTATATTAAAAATAAATTTAACTGATATTGATTCATTAGTAAACACTATAAATTCATAAAATATTAAATTTATTTTTAATGAATAATTATTCCAGGTGGTGTTCTTCTAGCACTAATTGAAGGTGTTGGAATTTTATTTACTCGTTATTCTGCAGAGCATTTTAAACCCTGTAAGTTTTAATTTATTAATAATCATCGTATATTTCCGCAGATAAAATGACCTTCAGATAAGACTAGATATAAATTTCCATCAAAGTTTTATAGTTTTAGCATATATCTGTCCTATAAGACGACCCCCAAACTATCAACGGCCTATGAATTAGTTTAGATCAGCAATCATCATCTGGATAATAATACTGTATAGCATGTACGGAATTATGTCCTATTTGTAATTTTTCGAATGAACAAATTTTTTTCTTGCATCTGGCAGCACTGCCTTGCTATTGTTGCAAGCATTTGCACTGATTCAGGCAATGACCTTGACTATTCACAAAAACATCGTATGGGCTATTCTATTTTATGGACATACCCTACTCTCTACTAGTAAATAATTATGGTTTTTCCGTTTTTTTTATAATTATTTTAATTTTAAAAAAAATTTGATTGAAATTTATACATCTGTCCTATAAGATGACCCTGGATTTTTTGGGCCTTTTTTATGATTCAACTATTATCTTATCTGTGGAAATACTGTATTTAGTAGTTATTCTATTTATTTGATAGATAATTCTTAAATAAATAGTCCTTTGTTCTAATTTTTGATTTAAAACTTTCTTAATTCCGGGATTCCTTGGGGTCTGCACATATGATTCTTGATTACCACACATTCCTATCTGTTGCCTTCTCTCATTTGAGATTGCACACCTTCACTTCCTCTACTTTTGTGTTCTTAGTTACCTTACTGACATACTCCTTGTCTTGTACCTCCATGCACCTACATCACCTTAATCTGATTTAACTTTAACTCTCTCCCCAACCACTTCATTTCTGATATCCTTCCATGTTTTTCCATTCATCAGCTCCACCATACATAGATAGGACACACAACAAAACAGTGGTGCAACCATTCAATTGATTTAGCATTTTCTTATCACATAGAGAGAGACAAGCTGGGTGCTGCTCTATCCTCTTCCACTGCATTGTAGATGTGTGATATTCAGGGTTCCTGTGCATCTGGAAAGTCAGGAAATTTGTTTGCTGACAGTATGGCTGACCAAGTGTAGCTGTTTGCAGACAGCAAGAAGTATTGTGATACAATGCAACTTACTGCAGAATATTTTCAGGATCCAAAATTTCACCCAAACATACAATAATATCAATTGTTACTTTTAAATTTTAAAACTGCTGTATTATGTAGTATTATAAGTTTGAGAAAAATTTTTTTTTGAAATTATTAGATTTTGTTACATTATTAACTATCTCNTACCCTACTCTCTACTAGTAAATAATTATGGTTTTTCCGTTTTTTTTATAATTATTTTAATTTTAAAAAAAATTTGATTGAAATTTATACATCTGTCCTATAAGATGACCCTGGATTTTTTGGGGCTTTTTTTATGATTCAACTATCATCTTATCTGCAGAAATATACTGTATTTAGTAGTTATTCTATTTATTTGATAGATAATTCTTAAATAAATAGTCCTTTGTTCTAATTTTTGATTTAAAACTTTCTTAATTCTGGGATTCCTTGGGGTCTGCACATATGATTCTTGATTACCACACATTCCTATCTGTTGCCTTCTCTCATTTGAGATTGCACACCTTCACTTCCTCTACTTTTGTGTTCTTAGTTACCTTACTGACATACTCCTTGTCTTGTACCTCCATGCACCTACATCACCTTAATCTGATTTAACTTTAACTCTCTCCCCGACCACTTCATTTCTGATATCCTTCCATGTTTTTCCATTCATCAGCTCCACCATACATAGATAGGACACACAACAAAACAGTGGTGCAACCATTCAATTGATTTAGCATTTTCTTATCACATAGAGAGAGACAAGCTGGGTGCTGCTCTATCCTCTTCCACTGCATTGTAGATGTGTGATATTCAGGGTTCCTGTGCATCTGGAAAGTCAGGAAATTTGTTTGCTGACAGTATGGCTGACCAAGTGTAGCTGTTTGCAGACAGCAAGAAGTATTGTGATACAATGCAACTTACTGCAGAATATTTTCAGGATCCAAAATTTCACCCAAACATACAATAATATCAATTGTTACTTTTAAATTTTAAAACTGCTGTATTATGTAGTATTATAAGTTTGAGAAAAATTTTTTGTTGAAATTATTAGATATTGTTACATTATTAACTATCTCTCACAATTTACACTTTCAGTTTGAGGGCAGGTGAAAGAAAATGATAAATAACACCATTTGAATTAATATTATCATATTAATAATTTTGATCACATAACAAAATTTATGATTTCTGAAACTTTTTTCCCAGTTAATAAATCTTCCAAACTATAAAATATTAATAAAGGGACAAATTTAATAAATTTATACTTTTGTACATAGAATGTACAAAATTTTTTTATAATAATTAATGGCTTTTTTCAAAACCCTTTAGTTTTACAATTATGGGTTAATAAAATAAATTATTCTTATTTAATAAAACATGCCATAATTCTGTCTTTCTTATTTTACTAATTCATCAATTATAAAAAATATATAGCTGTTAATTAGAAAAAATAACCGGTTAAAAAGTTGGAGAAGCAAAAGTGTGTGTGCTTAGTAAGTCAAGTGATGTTTTATTTTGTTAATGCACTATATCATGAGGGTCGTGGAATTTAAAACAAAAATTTGAGTAGAAATTCTGGATATTTGAATTTTTTGCTCCTTAGAAAATTAAATAAATGGCCATTATCATTCCTATCATAATTGGAGTTAGACAATATAAAATGATCAGTTCCATTAATATTAAATAATTGTGAAATTTACATTTATGTCGTCAAATTTATATTGTGGCGTAGTAAACACTAGTATTATGTTTTATTCCAAAGACATATGGCACTTTGGAATAAAACACAATACTAGTGTTTACTACGCCACGGTTTCAAAAAACAAATTTATATTGCATTACTATGAGAAAAATGTAACAAATGAATCATACATTTTAGGTTTAAGTTTCTTATTGAAAAGTAGACATGTAAATAAAAATATGTATTATCATTTATTTTCAGTTGATCCCCAGATGTCCGATCCCTCACAATTATCTTCACCCATAGGAAATGCACCTAATTATCAATGATGTACAGTATTGTATGTTTGTAATGTGTAATTAAGTTTTATCTTAATTTGATATATAGTGTATAATTGTTAAAGGAGACCAATTTATTTCATAAATAAACAGTATAGAAATTATTTATTTGTTAACAAATTATCATATACATATATAGTTCATGTAAAAAAAAATAAGGCTTAGTGGTTTTGATACATTCTTTCTTGTGCTTTAGTCTTCTCTCTGTTAAAAATAGAACTTACAGTTACTTTACTCATCTGAAAATTAAATTTCATAGGTCATCTTAAAAGACTTACATCCCAATCAAAGTGATTTTTTTTTTATATTTGAATTTAATTATTAGAAGAAAACATTGTTATCAGTAATCATTTGAAGATCTAAAAATTATGAATGTTAAACGATAAACTTGTGTTGACTTAATCTGAGATATATTTTTTCAAGGAAACATGTAATCAGAATAAATTTTAAAGTAAAAAAGCCAGTTTTTGTATTATAAGTAATTATTTCTTCAATGAATAGTAAATTTTCTGATGAAATTCAAAGGAAATATTTCAGGAAGACTATTAACTTATAGTCTAATTATCGTAAGTTGGCACCTACTGTAAACAAACTAAGAAACATCCCCTTTGATAGACATGGGTTTAAACCAATAAACAATTAGAAATTGTGTTGCATCTCGTTCATTCAGAAAAAAATTCCTGAATTTGAGATTTGTAAATGATTTTTAAGAATTGCTGGAGAATTTATTTGTTTTATTTTTATATCTATTTAATAAAATAAAAATTCTGAAGTATCTTCACAGCTATGTTCAACTACACAATTATAAATATATTTTGTGTAAGTCTTAATAATAATATATATTTAATATTAATTTTTGACAAACTATATTTAAATGATGGAAGTAATTTAAATGGCTATGTCAAAATGTTAAAGTAGGCTATAATAATCTAAGTAGTAGATATGTATTATATCAATGGTGCAGTTTTTTATATAATATTTATGGCTAGATATGTAGATGATATAATAATATATGACAAAGAAATGACTAATGAAAATATAATATACAACTATGCAAACACACTAAGCAATAAACTTAAATTTGAAAGTGAAATAGAAATTAATTATCTAGACATAACTATACTGGGAAAAAAACACTCTCAATATAAAACCAGCAATGTAGATAAGATTCTTAATTATAAATCGTATAGTCCTATAACAATAAAAAGAAATAATTTTATAACAGCACTTTCAAAAATATGAAACAGAACATCTAAGGCAGAAGAAAGAGAAGAACAAAAAAATAAGATAATAAATACCTTTATCTTGAACGACTACCCAAACAGATTACTAAAAAAGTGGACAACTACATATATAAAAAACAGATTCAATGTTAAATACAAAAATGAGAAAACTACACACAGGTATACCTCAACTTATGTCATTTCTGATTATACATTGTTTGTCAAAAAAAGTATATGGAAAAATAAAAATCAAGTTTAAGTTATTTTATTCGACTTTACGTCTGTCCGCCACAAATATTGAAGTGGTAATATCACTAGAAAAGTGTTTAAAGCACATAAAATCATATTAAAATATATACATTTACAAGTATGTACTGTATTTACAGTACATGCATTCGTAAATTTAGATAAATTTTAGTTTTTAATATAGTACAGAAAAAAGTAATTTGTTTGTAAGCTTAAAATAGATCCTTATTAACCATATATTATTAAAAATGCATTAATAAATAAAATACAGAACCAGGAAATGGTAATTTATGGTTTAGCCTAGTGAGAAGTAGATAAGGAGACAAGTAAATTCGACTTACGTCACCTCTCCTGGAACCAATTACCGATGTAAGGCGAGGTATACCTGTATACATCATTCCCCTATATTAAGGGAACATTTTTATATTTTTCAAAAGTTTTCAGAAAGCATGGTATTACACTAGCAGCCAAATTAAAAAATAAAATTAAAAACAACTTATCACACTAACCTTTTTTTTGCTGAAATAGTTCTATTGAAAAATTATCTCAGCAAAAAAAAGGAAGGTGTAGTGTGATAAAAACAACGTTAATACAAATAAGATAAAAAAATAACGAAATACTAAACCAAACAGGTGTAATATATGAGATAAAATGTACATGTAAAAATCCAGCAATATACTGCAAGGTCTCATTTTATGCGGATTTTTTTAATGCGATTTTGAAGTTGTGCGGTTTGTATTTCATCCAAAATTTTTTTGGACAAACATACATATAGGCTTGTTTAGGAAGCCCGCGTATAGACAGTCTCCAAAAATCGTGGGATGCTCAAAGCTCACTCCATTTGTTCCACTGACATATAACCTTTATGGATGTAAAGGACAGCTAGATCTACCTTAATCGCTTTAGTTCCTAGCAATTTTTGATATAAATGTAATTAAACATAAAAAATACTTAAAACTAAAAAAAACGAAAGAAATGCGTTAATTTTGAAGAAAAAGCTTCAAAGTTTAACTTCCTTTGTCTCGCCCTTCTGTGAAATTTAACACCGATGAGTCATTGTTTACACATCTGGATGACCTTGAACACAGCTGGAGTTGGATTTCCCGGGGCATTCTCATAGACGTCGCGGGAGGACAAGGGTTTAAAGTAGGGTGAAGCTGGCCGTATATTTTTTAATATTTTTAAAAAATTTGGAGACTTAAAAAACATTCCAAAAATTCAAAAAAAAAATGTAAAACTATATTACTTTTCAATAAAATAAACTGAATTAAGTTTGAATACAAGTTTATTTTAAGCTTTTATATGAATTTCTTTCAGACATTCGAAGTAATTCATTAAGCAGCCTATTTCTTTTAATATCTGCAAACTTTTTTATGCGGTTTTAAGTTAATTTTAACTCGTTGTTTTGGTTTTATGCGATTTTAGAAAATTACGGAACGTATCCCTACCTTTTCAAGACAAGTAAAGTCTTTTTTTATGCGCTTTTCTGTAGAACGTATCCACCGCATAAAACGAGACCTTACAGTACATTGGTGAAACAGGTAGGCAACTCAGAACCAGAATAAAAGAACATGAAGCAGCAATTAGACTTAATTATAACCAGTCACCATGCACAAATCACTAACAAATTTGGATGCACAATCAATGAAAAAAATGTAAAAATAATCCACAGGGAAAAAGACAGTTGTATACGAAAATTCAAAGAGCACTTCGCAATTGTTAATAAGAACAAAACCATAAACCTAAATAATGGCATGGAGGTTGACAATGTGTGGGAGGAAATGGGAGGGGCCAAAGAGCAAGGAAAACATAAAGAAAGAAAGAGTTAAAAATGCCTTAGGGGATACAACATCAACACCTCGTAGCTGTATGTCTAAACACAAAACAGGTTAGTCCACAATTATGTAAATATATCCAAATAACGAAAAATGTAATAATTGTTGTAAATAGTAAAATTGTAAGTTTACCATAATAATCAGATTTCTACCAATTTATAGAAATGTAACACCTGATGAAGGGTGCAAGATACACAAAATATTGCACCCGAAATGCATAGTGAATAAAGAAGATAATGCTCAGAAGTTTTGTCTCTGATAACCGATGTTTTTTTGTCTGGACCGCATTTTAACTTCTTCAGATCTAACCTATTGAATGTCAATTTTTTTTAAAAATTGACATTCAAAAGAAACCTATAATAACTTTAAAAATTTTTAAATATTATCTTGGTAAATTGTTGACCACTCTGACCTACTTTAACACATGCAGAGAAAGGAGCTTAACTGGTCAACAGGTGTCTAGCCACTTCTGATTGTGATTGACCAACGAAAATCTGCAGCAGATTGATACTGACAAAATATTTGTTTACAGTAGGTACCAACTTACAATAAATACGCTATAGATACTTTGCAAAATAATAACTGTTACTATGTACATGTCAATAATGCAAAATACAAGAATATTCTCCATCAAATCATCAATTTCTATTTCATATTGCAGAGAGTAGAGTAAGTTAATAAAATATATTTCAACTTAATTTGTAATTTATCTTAATATAACTGTTAACTAACTTTTCTATTATTATTTCAATAGATATTTTAATGTGATCAGATGCATTCTTGTTTAATTTCAACTAAATGGATCTGTGGTTTACCATTAGAAAATGAAAGTTAATTTTACTTATTTTTGTGAAGTCATAAGGATAAAACAAAAAATGATTAGCTGTATCATATGATTAAAAATTACTAGATTCATATTGGGCTACAAAATAACTTTCTACATCCAGTCCAAATTGTTTAGAGTTAACCATTTGATGAATAGGTGTACTAGCAGCTCCCTTTCCTCCCAGAGTGAGTTACTTTTTTAAAAACTAACATCTCATCTCCTAATTCACACTTTTTAATAAATTAGCCAATATTTTCTTCTAATTGTGTTGAGAAACTTCACACCATATTTGTGCTTTGCTAGAAATTCTATGCTAAATCTCATAAAAACATGAAAACATTTTTTAGATCTTTTAATAGATGTCCCTAGCTGCCTTTTACAGACATGTGTCACATAAAGTGAAATGTGCCTGTAAACAAACAAGCATACTACAATGAGACATGTACATGCTTACTGGAAGTACTCATCAAAGGGTTAAGTTGGCATCTTGTATTAAAATATTGGTTGTATTGGGTTTTTATTGTTATTTCTAATAAAATTTTCTTTAAAATACTTACTTTTATGTTTTAATTTAACCCATATGCCTCAAAAAAAACTCCCATTGGTGTCTTCTTTAAACCGATCGATTCAAGCTGATTCGCTATTTTATTTTTTATATTGCGTAATCTCAAAGATGAATGAAGAAACACTACTAGAAAAAGTAATCTTATTTTGAGTAATTCTACTAATACATTTTGAAAATTCCAATGATTTTAAATTGCAATACTTACAAATTATTGGAAATTGAACACCAATGAGAAAATCAAGAATTTCTTTCATTACACCTTTCAATGTGTACCAACCTAAACAAATAATCAAATACAAGTGAATAAATTTTATATAAAAACAAAATGTTTCTTATCAAGGCTTATTCAGATGTAACAAAATTTTATATAATAGTTTGAAAAAAATTTCAACTAAAGAAGCTCTAATAAGAGGAAAGTATGTTTGTATTGATTTATTTGTGTACAACCTAAAATTCAACTATGAAGACTTCAATATTAATTTGTAAAAATGCATTAATAATATAGCAGCTAGATAAAAGAAATGGGTTTGTTTTAGGAGTCTGGGACAGATTAATCCATTTTATATTGTTTCTTATGGTAAAATTTGTTTCGGTTTGAGAACAAAATCAGTTTTTGAACAACCTTTAGAAATGATTTAAGTTTCAAGAGAGGTTTGACTGTATATTGAATTCAGTTTTGTAGCATTATTTCGTGTGTTAAGCTTTTTGCTTATTAAAAAGTTAATTGTGTTATTTCAACATTAAATATCATAATTACCAAAATCAGTTAATTTGTTCAACTAAAATAATAATAAATACTATGTCTATATAATTATTATTGTTTAATAGTTTATCGATTTACAATTGGAATCAAAATTAATACAAATTTCCACTTATTATTCAACCCAATACAGATAATTATTATGAGTATGTTAAAAAAATAATTTAGTTATTTTAAATGTAAAGTACAGTAATACCCCAAACTTACGCGATAGGTGGGACTGAGCGATAACTGCATAAGTTGGGGTATAATTTCGCAATTTGTGTAAATCCAAGTCGGATGTATGTAAGCTAAAAAATGTTCTTGTTAATCTTATCTCGTCATTTGATTCGTTCACGGTTACAAGAAATCACCACATAGAGCAGTGTTTCTCAACGGGGGCGATATCGCCCCCATGTGGGCGTTTTTCCATGTTGAGGGGGCGATTAGTAACAATTTATATTTTGGGGGCGAAAAACAATTTTCTGGGTGATATATTAAAACATTGTATTAAGTACAATTAGATATTTTATTCGTTATATCGAACAATAATTAAACAAATAACATTATACTAGTCACTAGTTTATTCAATGCAGTGCGAATTTGACGTTAGCCTTGGCCCTCGACATCGGAATTTTGAAGTGAAGGGGGCGATACTACGTTGAAGGGGAGCGACGATTCGTTAGAGGATGAGAAACACTGACATAGAGTCTCTCAAGTCTCCGTAGATATAACAAACACAGAAATAAATAACACAAAATAAATTGTAGCTGTGTGTCGATTCCGCACGACACGTCCGAACATGTAAGCTGAACAATAGTCTGGGGGGAGTGAGTATCAAGAGTTGTGTGGCACTCAAACAAAAGACGAATCAACAAGATTTGAAAATCGCGTAACTCTGGGTTTGCGTAAGTCGAGGTATTATTGTAATAAACACTTTAAAATATAATTTAACCAAATAAGATGGCAAAATACAAGGATATTGTATAGATAACCCATTACTAATATAAGGAATAATAATTAAACATATTTCATTAAATTTAGCCTCATTATGTCACTTCTAAGTTTATCTTTTTTTTTTTTTTTATTTAAAAAAAATAGTTTCATAATGACCACGTGACGCTCTATTAGCAAATCAAAAGTAACAATCTAACGAGCCCATTATTTAGAAAGTGTTATTGCTCATCTAACATACATACAATTTATCTTTGTTATCAATATGGAATTAAGAAATGGCTTTATCAAGGCCTGCAGAAACAGGATCATGTCATCAATCATCAAAACAATATTAAGGTGTCTATTATTAAAGGAAGACAGCGAGGAAAGCTTTTAAAAGACAAGAGTGTTTACTCAGAATGTAGTGTATAAAGAAATTTTATGAAGAAAGATTTTACTACTACTTTATTATAAAGGCCATCATCTGTTTCTGTGTGTGTAAATAAATTCTTTATAACTCCTAGTTTTGTCTACTCCAGATGAAATTTTGTTTTGTTGGTCTTTATGTTACAACAGACAATATTTCTACAAATTACCATATTTACTCGCATATAGGACGAGGTGTGACTTTAAAGATCAAAATAAAGAAAATTAGATTTATTAATACAATTCTAATTTTATTATGTTTAATCACAAAATATCAAATGCCCATAAATGTACGTATTGTCCTGCAAATATTACTAACATTTTAAATCTTAAGGAAAAATCTTGTAAAATCGATATAATTTGTTCATGTAAATATTTAGAATTTGCTGGACAATCGAGAACCTTTTTGCCAATTCTTAATAGTCAAACCCATTCTCCATCGATTACACTTAAGACTTTCTCTGAATTCTGATTTCCGAATAATCGTGTTTTCATGTGGGAATGGATTAAAACTTATATCGGACTCCGGTGTGATTTTGGAATTTCAATATTGAATTCAAAAGCTTTGCTCTTCCTATTGCTATTCATCTTTACTCCCGACAATACACAAAAACGATTCAAACAACCCAGATAAAATACTTTTGTTTTTAAACACCAGTGTGAGCATCCAGTTAAAAGTGCGAATAAGTGGTTTACAAAAATTATTGCAAAAACACAAAAATCCTTTGCTGGTGCGTATAGGATGACCTAGGTTTTTGAAGCAGTGAAAAATAAATAAAAACCTTGTCTTATATGTGTGTAAATATGGTAAGTAGTTTTCAAGAAATTCAAGATGTTAGTGTAATCTCTATTTTCTCATAAAAAAGTATTCAGTCACGCTTGATGGGAAAATTTCTTGTAAGTAAATAATAGAAATCCATATTTTCGGACTTTGTCTTTTATTTCACAGTAGCCACTTGATACAAATGCCACGTATGCATATTAAAACTAATTGTTCCACCACTTACTTTCTTCAAAACCTTAGTCTGGTTGGTTATGGAATCAATGAGTTCTGCTATCTTGGCTTGTGGAATGTTGGTCCTCTTGGCATGCGAACAATCTAAAAGTTCTCCACGGGAAGTAGGTTTTTGTGAACATTCTACAAAGTTTTCTATCATAATACAAACAAATGCAAAGGAACCATAGGTCCAGGACAGGAATGACTGGCAGGATATTTTACCAGATACACCCAACATTTGTTCTTATGTACTTGTAGTAGTAATTGAGTAGTTGTGAAAATTTTTTCAAAGATTTTTCTTGATTACTTATAAGGAAGAATCTAATTATCTACATATATATATATTTAATAATTTATTTTTGCTACAGTAGACCATGCAACATCAACACTAACACATCATCAAATTACTTTGTTGGCTTAAGAGACTTACTTTCTCAGCTGTTATGTATATGCAATAAGAGAAAGTATTGGAATCATGTCAAATTTGACTCTGGGGTTTTTTTTGCAAATTTCCATGTTTTGAGGCCTCCTAAACACAAAAAGGAAAAAAAAATTCCATATGTGTATAATGGTGATGATGATGATGAAGTGAAATTTAGCATGATAGTTTGTATATAAGGAGCATTAATGCTATTAAATTTTAATGTTTAATGATTGAGAGGGATGTCATATCTTGAGGGAGGTCAGACTTAATGAAGATGTTATACATTATTAGCATTTACAATTTTTATGAAACTCATCACTACCCTCAAAATTAAGCTTTTTTGTCATTTTATAATAAAATTTCATAACAGGTGGTGCCATACACAATTTATATTTTTAATTTTAATGTAATTGAGCAGTGTGTGCATTAAATCTTCTTTATACAACAGAATTACTGCTACAAGAATATTGGAAATGTTGATAAAAGCCTTGTTTTTGATAGACTATCACCAGCAGAGTTTTTGAGTGGTACAAGATGTTCAAGGCAGAGAGCACATAGAAGTTAAACTATGCTCTGGTAGGCCATTCACTTCAACTGATTAACAACACATTACTCAAGACAGAGATTTGGTGCTCAATGATCACTGTTTAATAATTAGGGACATTATTGAACACATTCCACTATCATTTGGATCTTGTCAAGCAATTTTAAAAGATTATTTGGGCTTGTGACATGTCAATTCTTGAGTCATCCGAAACACATTGAATTTTTCCAAAAACGTATTTGAGTGGTCAAGGAAATGCTTTCTTGAGGTGAATTGTTCTTAAAACAGTTGATGAAACATGGATCTACACTTCTGACACCAAAACAGCTCAACAATCAAGTGAATGGTACACAAACAGTAAAGCAAGACCAAAAAGCCTAGATCAATGTCAGTCAAAAATCAAGGTCATATTGACTGTTTTCTTCCATTGTCATGGTATTGTGAATCACGAATTCCTTCAAGCTGGCCCAAACTGTCAATGAAGATTATTATTTGAGTGTTTTATGTCATTTGCATGAAGCAATTTGTAGAAAATTACCTGATTTGTGGCAAGAAAACTCATGGATTTTGCACCTGCTCACAAATTTTTGATAAAAAATTCAACAAATATAGTTCTGTATTCACCGAATAGGTTACTGTGTAACTTTTTCCTGTTTCCTCAACTAAACTTTCCATTTTGTGGTCAGTATTTTGAGTCAACTGATGCCATAAAACAAATTTATTGAAAGTCCTAAAGGGGTTTCACTAAAACGACTTTAAAGAAAAAATTGGAAAAAATGGCATAACTGCATTGCAGTGGGAGGGGTTACTTTGAAGGGGACGAAATAAATTTTGATGAATAAATTCAAATCTTGCATTTTATTGGACCATTCCCAATACTTTTTGATCACAGAGATATTATCATCATTTACAATTTTTTTTTTAAAACCCACATCTACTTCAAAAATAAAGCTTTTTATCTTAAAAACCTTTTTTAAAACCTATTTTAAAAACCTTTTAAAATAATAAATAAGTAAATAAAAATTTTTAATAAACCTTATAACAGATGGCATCACACATATTTCCCTTAACCTTATCTTAGAATTCTGGGAAAAATTGCACATGACGAATTTCCAGATGTTTATGAAATACTGTTCATGGGGATCTATGGTTTCTTTTAGTTATTTTCCTGTGTAAAAATGGTTTATAATAATACAAGCAGCATTAGCTCACCAGCAACCTAGAAACGAGTGGGTAAAATCACCGAACACTAGTTTCATCAACTCATGGGGTAACACCTGACCATGTGGAATATTCCACATTTTATTCATATATTTAACACTTAAGCAGAGGCCAGTTTCCATAAAAATTTCTCCTGAAAGGCCTCTCCCCTTGGCAGATAGCCCATATATTTCATTACCACATCCCATCAAACAAAACCTAGTAGTGTTATTGTCTAAAGATATAAAATCGTGTCCTTAAAAAAAATTTTAAAGTATACAAATTATATATATTTTTTAAGACAAATTCAGTATTTAGTTTTATTATATATTTCTTTCTTTCTGTAATCATAACTTTTAATATATAAAATAAATCATAACTAGTTACAAAAAGAGGGACTATATTATTAGAAAGCTAATAAAATAATTCATACCTGCAAGAAGTATAAACAGATTTATAATTGGATGATGTTTTCTTAACAAAACAATAGGATCGTGTATTGTCCACAGTGCTGTACAATAACGAAAATAATATAGGGCTGTAATTGCACATATTCCGGTAATTACTTTTACTGGATATATTAATCTGTTAAAAAATGAAAATATTAAGAGTACCAATTAAAAATACAGTAAAAGCATCAAAAATCCAGATTACTCCATCATGAAATGGACATAAATTTACGTATATATTAAATTCAGATGGGGTCTGGCCTCAATTAGTTTGGATTTCTGACACTTTAATGCATATATAAATGAAAATTAGTGTAATACGGTAGAGTCCTGTACAATGCGGGGATTCATTACGCATTATAGGAAATTGCATTATCACACAATTTACGAAAGTTTAAACCTTGGCCTATAAGTTGAAAAAAAAAAAAAAAACGTATACCTCTGATCGACAAAATTTGAGGATGTTGTGGTGTTGCTTGCTTTATTTGCGTGTTGTATGGGACTACTGTTTACACACGTGATTTTGAAAATGAGTTTTAAAAATTTATTCTACAATATTTTGTTCTATTTTAGCTCATTTTTAAACAATTTTTGCTATTATCGATGTATCAATACATAAACTCATAACAAACCAAGATGAATCTCATTACTAATCAAATAATTTGTTATCATGCTGCATTTTGTCTACTTAATATACACATACTATATAATTTGAAACTAAAGATAAGAATTGGTTACGTCTTGTGTTAAATTTAATAATTAGAACAAAATAAATTACAGTAAGCAGAAATTATGGGTTTGCAAATTTTGGTCCAGATCATCTTTTCTTCCAGAATATTCTAAATTATTTAATTACTAAATTTAATATAAGATAACAACTTAATTGTCTACCTTTAATACAAATTACATAACATCTGCATATTTAATTAAACAAAATGCACACATTGGTAGAAACAGTTATTAAGGAATTGTTAGTTTCTGTCAATTTGTCGTAAATGGAATCTAGGCACACGAACTACACACTTCAAGATTCATATCTATTCGGGGTGGATCCAGGAATTATTTTATCAGAAAAATTATGTCACAGAAAACCAAAATGTCTTTCTCAATTACATATAAAGTAACAACTTTTTGTATTTTATTGATGCTTTTATTCAGAAATTCTTACCTTACCCTTTTCATAAAATGGCAAGTTTTTATCTTTGTCAGAAGCCATTAGCACATTCTAAAATTAAATTTTTTCCAGTTTTTGACGAAAATGAAAACTTAAATACAACAACATGAAAGTGAAAGTATTCATACGTGAAAATGAAAGTATTATTCTCTCAAGAGAATACTTTCACTTTCACATTTGATACTCCCATACACACAAATATATGAACCATTCACAGACCAAATTGATTAACTCCTTTAGTTACATGAAAAATGTACAAATAGTATATACTTGGAATAACTGTTGTTATTTTATATGTCATTAGATAAAAGCTACACCCATTATAATACATTTAGATCAGGGGTGTCCAACCTTTTTGTTTCTCTGGGCCACATCGGAAGATGTCATGGAGTTTTGAGCCACAAGTACATTATATATACTTGTGGCCCAATCCTTAAATATACAAGTATATTTAAGGATTAACATGTCTAGATTATAGTGCGCACCGAAATTTTGGCAAAATGCTGAATAATGTAAATTTATGTAGGACATCGTGGAGAATTTCATAATTCGGACTGTCGGTTTCCAAGCAGAATTGGAAGAAATACATTTGATGGTTTAGTAATCACGAGAGAGAATATTAATAAGTATTAAATCTTTATCACAAAAAAGGATATTTTAAAAAATTACTTCTACAGACTTTCAATTTTTACTTAGAAATAGATAAATTCATTTATTATAAAGGAGACAAACAAAAATTTATTTGAAAAACACAAATATTTGTTTTATTTGGGTCTGTAATTAATAAAAAAAAATGACAAAACACCATTTTAAAGTGCATTTTTATTTGACTAATATATTTATAAATAATATGTAGCCCAAAAAGTAGCCAATGCACCAAATGATATTTTTTACGCCAAACTAAAAAAAGGGTAGCAAACTTTGGCGCAAAGTAGCCAAATCATGCAACACTGGAAGGAATACTAAATAAAGCTGGAGTTGGGACTGAAAGGATTATAGATCCAAATGCGGGAGAAGGAGAGAAAGGACAAAAGATAAAGAAGTGAGAAAAGTTGGAAAATTAAGGGTCCATATTTGCTTAACAGAAAGTCTATTTAACCTTTCTCACTACTTTTTATCTTTTGGCCTCTCTCTCCTTTCCCCAAATTTGGGTCTAATTCTTTGAGTCACAACTCCAGCTTTATTTAGTATTTCTTTCTTATTCACACTTTTCAAGTATTTGAAAATATTTCCTTTCCACTCAAAAATAAAATATGTATAAAGGGTTTACGGCTCTGTGAAACTTCTTTTATTGAGTTTATGCCGTTGAAATAAATAAAACAAAATAAAAAAATTTGTTGGTTTTGTTTACACGTTTATTGGGCCGCATTTGAACTTGCCTTGGACACCCGATTTAGATTTTAAAAAAGAATGTATATTATTTTATCAGTTTCTGGACTTCTTGTTTAGAAATACACTTGTAGAAAAGACTGGAAACATAAACCAAAATTTCAATAATTCTACACCTATACTTTTACAGCAATGTTTTAATGTTTGTTTGTTCGTTAAGTTATGGCAACACAACACTTGGGCGATCTGCCTAGGGATATGCTTTCCGGGGGGGTCTTTTTAAAGGAAACTGGCCCCTATTTAGGCACTACAGACATGGAGAAAACCCGGAAAACTCCACGTGGCCAGCCTGTCTAAGTTCTAATGGCAGAACTATAACAGCTTATTTTAAATTTACAACACTTGAAAACGAACAATTTACGTATTTCAAAATATGATATATTAAAATGAAAACATAAAATAACATAAATAAAAAATAAATTACACATATTACGAGGGCTGTTCGAAAAGTTTGCGGCCTTGCCTATATGCGGCGCTGCGATCAATTTAATTTTTGGCGGGAATAATTCAGCCATCCTTGCTAAAGATACGGTACCAATTTCCGCTTGATTTGTCGTAAAGTTTTGCCACGACAGCTTAGCAGATAGTCAATGTGCACGTGCTTTGTCAAAAATGGAGAAGACGGAGACTCATGTGGTCATAAAATACCTGACGAAAAAAGGGTTGACCGCATCTCAAATCAAAGCTGACATGGATGAAGTTTTGGGAGAGTCTGCTCCTTCGTAAACCACTGTGAAAAAATGGACAGCCCTTTTTAAATCTGGCAGAGAGAGTGTGAAACATGACCCTCACAGCGGACGGCCGTCAACTGCTGTCACTGAAAAAAATATCGACAAAGTTTACGATTTGGTGTTAGCAGATCGCCGTTTGAAAACGCGTGAGATAGCTGAGACAATAGGCATCTCTGTCGACCGAGTGCACCACATCTAACCGAAAATTTGGGTATGACGAAGGTCTCAGCAAGTTGGGTGCCGCATCTGCTGACTGCTGAGCAAAGACGTGTTCGCACTTTGATGTCAAAGAAGTGTTTGGACTTCTACAAGAAAAACCCACGGGATTTCTTGTGTCGGTTTGTGACTACTGACGAAACGTGGATCCATTACTACACTCCTGAAACAAAAGAACAGTTGAAGCAATGGAAACACCTCAGTTCACCACCACCAAAGAAGGCAAAAACAGTTTCATCAGCGGGGAAAGTGATGGCCTCGGTTTTTTGGGGATGCTAAAGGAATCATCTTTATTGACTACCTAGAAAGAGGAAAAACCATCAATGCTGTCTATTACTGTATACTTTTGGAAAAACTGAAGAAAGAAATTGAAGAGGCCACACTTGAAGAAGAAGGTTCTGTTTCACCACGATAATGCCAGAATCATTGAACAAAAAATAAACGAACTTAGCTTCCAATTAGTTCCACATTTACCGTACTCACCTGATCTGGCCCCCAGTGACTTCCACCTTTTTCTAAATTTAAAATAATTCTTGGTTGGAAAGAGATTCCACTCAAATGATAAAGTCATCTCTGAAGTAAACGAGCATTTAGCACACCTTGACAAATTGACCTATTGTAATGGCATAAAAAAGCTAGAACATCGCTGGAATAAGTGCATTGCTAACAAAGCAGACTACATTGAAAAATAAAAAAAGTTTTAACATTATTTTGTTTGTTGTTCTATTTGAGGCCACGAACTTTCCAAACAGCCCTCGTATTAACCAACATTAAAGTTCTGGAAAGGTTTTTTTTCTTTGCAAAAATAAATAATGCTGTTTTTACATCAAAATAATAAAATTTACAGTGAACTGCAAAATGATGAATGGTGGTGTATTGTAGCGTTTCTGTGTGACATTACAGATTAGCTTAACAGTCTCAATACTGGTTTACAGGGTGAAAATAAAATAATTTCACAAATGGCAAGTAAGCTAAACAAGACTGTATTAATATTTCTCCAGAAAACTATACAATTTTTTAACTGCACTATCCGAGGAATTTAAACATACATCATGATCTAAGAAAAATAAAAAATATGCTGTTGCTTGTTGAAAATCCGTGGCTGTTGGAACCGGCAATAATATCAGAACTGGCTGATATATTGGCATGTAATTACGCAGATCTATTTGACGAATTTATTGAGATGAAGAACAATGTACACCTGGAAGCTATTTTTAAACAAAAGAGAGCGAAAATAATTACGTTGACTTCTGGAAAATACTGCCCGAACAATATAAGACTGTAAAAAAAATGTGCTCAAATTTTACTTATGTTGTTCGCATCAACGTATCTATGTGAAACGTAATACTCAAAAATGAAATGTTCAAAGCAGGACTGTGGAGTAGGAGTAAGGAGTTAGAAGAGTCTGAGGTTTTTAAGGAGTATGAATAGGAGTAAGGAGTTAGAAGAGTCTGAGGTTTTTAAGGAGTATGAATAGGAGTAAGGAGTAACAAATATATTTTGTTACTTATTCCTTTAATTATATTGCACATTTAAACATTANTTTTTTTTAGTTGTCGTAATATGGAGTGAGTATAAAGTGAAAATACAACTGATTATTTTTTTTGAACATTTAACTTCATACTTAATCTTTATGCACCTCTGAACCAAATCATACACAATAGATCATTTTAATAGTGCGATTAGTGTTCTAAATTTACGTGCACAGATAGCAAATAAGAGTAAACTTATACTTTGTTACAGATATTAGAGAGGTTGCGGCCGACGTTTTCAACGGAAAAACGTGTACGTCAGACGTTCAGCGCCGCCTTCCTGTAAGCCTAGAAGTTTTTGACAATGGTGTTTGGAACGTCAGTAGAATCATGCTCGACATTCTAAACGCCATTGTCAAACTTCTAGGCTTACAGGAAGGCGGCGCTGAACGTCCGACGTATACGTTTTTCCGTTTAAAACGTCGGCCGCAACCTCTCTAATATTATTCATAAAAAGTTCGAGAAAGGATGAAATTTATAATTAAGATAAGTCAAAATATTTTTTGAATTTGTCATATGCATTTAATATAGTTAGATGAAACAATAAAATTAATTAAGTTTTGTATACCTCTGAAAGAGAAATTTTCACAAACCTTGCTTAACAAATTATAAAGTTTAAATGTAAAAGTTGTTGAATAATTTTGAATAAAGAATATACTCCATCGATTACTCTTATAATTTTTTTTTAATGTTTTAGTTAGAATTGACAGTTCTTTCTGTCAATAGACATTTTGTGCCTTTGAATGTCAGTTCTGCGCGTTAAGAAACAATACTTTTCAAATTTACAGAAATTTCATATATCCAGTTCCATCATGGATATATCTGTAAATATGTTTTATCAAATTTGCATGATCATTTTTCAAATTAAAAGTATAGAATTCTTGTATAAATTATTTAAAATAATATTACCATACTATTGAATAACTATTTCTAGATGCCTTGTATGTGCTGTATACCTGGTTGCATAGAAAAATATATATCCAGTGTCTATATTTAAGTTTTCACAGGATTTGATTTGAAAAGCAAATCAATGGATTAGTGAATTTGTAGAAAAAAATAACTTATTATTTAAAATGTTTTAACAATTATGCATTAAAAAGTATGAATTATGTTTAGGTGAAAATATATATATTAAATTGTTAACTAATCTACATTTCCATTTAGCATATTCTGT